AAAAAAAAAAAACATGAAAAACATTGTTAAATGTTGAACAAAAAATATTAGATGAAAAGTAGAAATATTGGGGGGAAAAAAATACAACATTGGAGGAAAAATATTGAGGAAAATACAAAAATTGTGTTGTTTTTTTTTTTCTAATGACACAAAAATACACGTTGAGAAAAAAATGTAATATATTACATTCCGAGGAATTGTGTTCAAATTCCAAATTCAATCATTTTTTAAAAATTAAAAAATTTTAAAATTTAAAAATATAAAAAAAATTGATGTTCAAATATTAAAACTACATAACAATCTAAATTAAAATTTATTGTCAACCAAGGACCCCGAGCAGCAGATTTGTTTGCATATTTCTAACCCTTAAAGGAACAGCGGTTACTGCAGTCGCCAGCTTATCGTGTTATTAAGTTAGATGAAAAAAAATAAAATATTTGTTGATTAAATAGTAATAGCTTATTTCTATATATTGCTGAGGCTATCGTTTGGATTGCGCAACTGCACCGACGGTAATAATGCGACTCGTGCCACTCACACGGGCAAAGCCCCGGCGTACAACGCAAGCGGGGGCTTTCGTTGAACCTCCTCACCTGTTCCGCCGTCTGTCGCCACAGCACAAGGGATGAAACCAGTTTCCCGTTGTCGGGCTGACACATGGCAGCCATCGAGTAGATCAACTTGCCTCCCTTCTGTCGCGAGTGCAGCAGGGCCAGCGCGGCGCTGGTGCTCAGTTCCGGCGGATTGGGATTGCGGGAGCTGACGCGCCAGGTGGCGTAGACGGAATAGGGCGCGGCGCCTTCGTCGTCGTGCGAGCAGCTCGGCTTGGTGTAGCTGAGATAACACCAGCTCACACCCGTCGCCGTGCGAAGACTCGGAAAGGGAGACGGCGTCCCGCGGCGCTCGGCTTCCGAGACCGCGACGTCCCGGCCGAAGGGCGGCTGCGCCCCCGTGTCCATCTGCGCACGTCTCTCCGCGCACGTTTCTTTGGGATACGCGGGCAAGCCGCTCTCCATAGCGGACTCGGCGCTGCGGTCGTCGGTCACTTTCCGAGCCGCGATCAACTTTCTCCCGTGTGAGTCATCCTCCAGGTGGCACTTGCCCAGCTCCACCGCGCTCAGCTCCTCCACAATTTGCCCAAACATCCTCTCCTCCTTCACGCGCTTCTGCTGCTTGACTTCCATAAAAAGGTCGAGGCTGCTGGCGGGCGAGAGCATGCGTTTGTTGGCGCCGCCGCTGGACGCGTTGGTGGTGGAGATGGTCCGGGAGGTCAGGGACAGGGGGATGCCAGTTTTGAGCTTGGCCGAGGACAGGTCCAGGACTTGGATAGAGACCGCGTGAGCGGCGGCTCGATTCTGAGAAGGCGTTAACGCCGGGCTAACTCCGTCGTAGTAATTGTCGACGATCCGCGACACGGACGTGTACGTGAGGCTGCCGTAGCTCGGCACGTGAGTTTGGATCCGGACGGGGATTAACAAACCGGGATGCGGAGGACGGGGGAGCGCGTTCCCGGTCGAGAAGACGGGCAGTGGCGACGGAAACGCGTGCGCGTGCGAGGCCTCCGCGTCCATGCTCAGCGACTCCTGGCGCACCAGGTTGCCCCGCCGCCTCTCCTTCGCCAGGTCCCCCGGAGGTCTCACTTTGGATGTCGGATCCAGGCTCCCGTAGTCGAACGATACGCTGCGCACCTCCGGGAGCTCCTTGCGCAAATTGCAAGGCGCCTGCTCCGAGGAGGAGCGTCTCATTTCGTGTTGCTGGCGATGATGGAGAACGGAGAGCGAGCGGCCGCTTCCCGGCACGGCTAAGCGCTCCAGAGGCTTGCCGAATTCATCTTGTCTGGCCGGGGAAACGGGCTTCAGGCTCTCCTCCCTGTCGAAGGAGAAGGCGGAGCCGTAAGATAAGTTGCTGTCCTGACTGGGGCTTCGCGAGAGACCGGCGCAGGCCGACTCGAAACTGGACTCCCCCGAGGAGTGCTCGATGTCGGCCAGCCGCAACCTTTTCTTCTTCGGGGGCAGTTTTTCGGGAGGGAACTGGGCTAAAGTTTCACTCCTCTGCGGCCACTGAAACTCTTCCGCGTGCTTCTCGGGCTCCTTCGCCGGCGCGTCCGCGGCTTTTTCGGGACTGTCGGGCTCCACGGTGACCCTGATCTCCGGCACTTGGATGTTGGGCTGCCGCACCAGTTTGGCAGCCAACTGAAAGGACTGCCTCAAGACGCCGTCGCCTCTGTCCATCTCAAACGACTCCTCCATGGGCTGAAACGAGGAAAAGGCCTCCCGCCTCTGCCTGAGACTCTTGTAGGAATCGGACGGGTCGGCGTGAGGCCTGTTGATGAACTTGGTGTGCTGGATCACCGAAATGACATTCCCTAATGTTTTCCGAGCGCACGTTTCAGGGCTGACCGAGACGTCCATGTCGACGCCGTCCGGCTGCGTACTCAAACGTCCTTTGGCGACGCCGACCGCCCCGTGGCCGACGACCGTCGTCTCGTAATCCTTCCCGGAGTCGAACATTTCTTCGCACTGTTCGTGATGCGCCTCATACCGAGGCGGCGGATCCTCCTCTTCCCGTTTCTCTTTCCGGCGCTTGCGCGTGGCTAATTCCACGGCGTGCCTCTGCGGGTTCCCGCTCGCTGGATAATTGTCCGTTTCCGGCCCGGCGAGCGGCGCGTCGCTCGCCTTCCCGTGGCCGTCGCTTTCCGCGTGGCCCTCGTTGGACGGCAGCTCGAAAGCGGCTTGCCGGCGGAGTCTCCTCATGCCGGCGTTGCTCGTTCTCTCGTCAAACGAGTGACTGCCCCGGAGCGCCTGCGGCACGGTCAGGCCGACGGCCGACGACGTGGGCATGGAGTTGCTCCTGAGGAGGGTCCCCGTGTCGGAGCCGCTGTCGAACTGCGCTTCTTTCGCCTCTTCCCTCGTGAAGGACTTTGTATTTATTTTAATGGACTCCACCGTGTCTTTTTCCTGGGTGAAAACACGAGAAACTCCTTTCTCGGAACATCTTCCCGCTTCGCCGGAAACGTACGCCGTGGTCTGCTTGGGGCTGGGCCTGTAACATTTGCCAAACATAATTTCCTGGTAGGACTTGGCGTTGGCATTCGGGGGACTGGTCTGATGCTCGGCGCTTTCCGATCGGGAAAAGTAGCCCGAATCGGTGCTGCCTTTGCTCGACTGACTCGGAAGGGACAGATTGTGTTCCGAGTCGCTGCTCCTTTTTTCCGACAGCCGAAGCGCGAGCCTTTGTTTAATCGTGCACGTTTGAATCGCACGGTGAGCCTCGACGGCGGCGACGGATGAGGCGGTCGTTTCCGGGCCGTCCTGAGTCGACGTCGCGGATGCCTTTTTGTGAGAAATGAGGTTGAGCACTTTGACGGCCGTGTGATCCGAAGCCTCCGCCGGGGAGTCCAGCAGCAGCAGCGGGTCGTTGAACGCGTCCTCGTCGGTGTCCGTGCTCTGCTCGGCGTCGGAGAACAACTCGCCTTCGCCTTCGAAAGACCCCTGGTCCGCATTGACGTTCTGAGAGGACGGCGACGTTCCGGCCTTGACCGAGTGGGCGTGGGACTTTCGGTGTTTGTACAAATTGCTCTTGGTTTTGAAGGAGAACCCGCAGGGGACGCACGGGTAGGGCCGCTCCCCGGTGTGCGAGCGGATGTGTTTCTTCAGCACGCTGGGTTTGGCGCACGCCCTTCCGCAGTAATCGCAAACGTACTTTCCGGGCTTCTGCGCTTTCGGTTCAGCCTTACCGCCGGTATCCGGCTGCGGCTCCATCCCCGAATAGCAACTCTGTCGTTCCGGTGAGCTAGGGGACCTCTTCGGTCTGCCGGCCGCTTTGGCGGCCTGGAGTGAAAACGAAGACGTTTCCGTGTCTTCGATTTGGGAGATGGAATCCTCAAAAGTCAGTGACTTCCCTGAGGCGGGCGCTTTTTTGGAAGCGCATGCGTCTCTGGCCGGGCCCTCTTGCAGGTGCTGGCGCCACCCTTTGCCCTCCATTTCCACCGATGGACTCCTACTTATCTTGGCTGCCTCGGGTGTGCATTTTTTGGGTGCGACATCTCTGTCGTGACCTTCCGGAGAGCCCGTGGCAGTTTCGAGTGACTCCATTAATCCGACGTCGCGATCGTTTCTTGGGGAGAATATTTCTTAGGTGTCGGTAGTGATGTTGATATAAACGTGCGACGGCTCATCTGCAAATGAAGCAAACAGAAAGTGGGGATTCAATGAAGATTAATGAGCATGAACACTCTATCTCCTTGCCAGAAATATTGACCCCCCCCCCTCCACACACACACACACACACACACAGATCAATGGTCACAAAATGATGAGGGCTCCAATCGACAAGATTTTGTAATAACGAGTCATTGCTCGGTGGACTTTTTGCTTTGTGTTGCGAGCTCAAATTGGAATTTCGAGGGAGCGTTTTGTGATTTATTCGTGGAGTGACTTTAATAGTCAACCACACAAATACAAAATGACAACACTCGTAAAGAGCTGCTGTAGCGACAAATCACGCCGGGATGCTCACACTCAGACTAACCGGCCACTCACTCTCCTGATGTCACTCACTAAGGCCGCGCCTCTTAAAGGCACACGTCCGTCACAAAAATTGAATTGCATAGAGAGCAATGGTGCTTTATAAAACAAATCCCCCCCTAAAAATTCCATTTTCTTATGACTCACCCGACCGCACGGCGCGTCTGCCCTTTTATCCTGGCAGGAAGCTAAATTCCCCCATGGATGAAATCTAAATCCAATCTTTTGCCACGACCACTTTCAACAAAATCTCAAATTCCAATCATAAAAGTTTTTTTTTTTAATGTACCATATTGGTGTGAAATAGTAGTGCAGATGTTATCTGTCAAAGTGTCGGTGGTTCCTTTGACTGTCTGGCCAGTGGGATTATTTTTGAAGTTACGGGAGACTTTTTGATGGCATAGTTTGGGAGGGTTGGGGTGAGATGGCCCCTTTCTTTGCGGTCAGACACTCATCCAAATGTCGACATTATTTCATGTCGTGGGGTCATTTCAATTTGAGTCCCTCCAAACCACACAGCCCCCTTGTTCAAATGATGCTAAAGTAGCTAGCACAAAACGCTCCCGATTAGCTTGCTACTGTTGTTTAGTCTTCAAAGTGTTTCTCTGTAAGTGTGTTTTGATCCGGCTGACGTGTTCGCCGGGTTACATCAAGGCCATGGGAACTCGGTCGTAAAGAGGAACACCCCCCCCCCCCACTCCGAATGACACCAAGCGCACTGCCACCACAACAAGAGAATTCATCTGGAGTACGAAGTGGAAGGTGTCTGTCCGACTTAAACCCCACAGAACCTGCTAAAGTGAAGACTTGAAAGGACAATCCCCCCTCCTCATTTGCGTGACAGTTGAGCTGGAGCCAGTGCCAGCTGACTTTGGCCGAGAGGCAGTGTACACCCTGGACTGGTCGCCAGGTGAATCGCAGAGCACATACAAACGACTAGTCACACCGATGGACGATTTAGCGTCTAACATGAAGCTCACATATATGTTTAAGGAATGTCAGAGGAAGCTGGAGTACCGGAGAAAACCATTGGAAGATCCCCCCAAAAAATTTGGAACCAAAACCTCCTAAGTGTGATGCCCTCAAGTCCATCGGGCCGTCCCTCTTAAATCCCGCCATGCATGCAACACTGAGCCATTGGTTTCAGTGCCGTGGCGTAAAAGGGAAGAGACGTGCAGGAGCATCGGCATCACCTCGTATTCCCTCACGTCTCGCGCTCGCCAAAGAAACGCCATCCCCTCATGGATTCTGGGAATTGCTTTAGCTTTAACCCCGTAGGGCACATCCGCCTCCACCTCCTCGTCTTCATCCTCTCCGTATCAAATGCCGTGTCCTCCCTTAACGAGGTTATGTAAGATTATCTGGTTCAAACCCTCCGAGTTTCCCCCCTAATTAGGACATCCTTTCTCTCTATGTATTTTTTTTTTCATCTCTTTGTTGGCGCTCCGCGGAGGCACTCGGCCCAGCGCGATTCGCCGAGGATGCGAATCCAAGGTGACTCGCCGCATGCGGACCGTCGCGTGAAAATAACCGAGGAGGGAAGGGAGGCGAAACGGGATGGGGGGCAGATTTTGAGTGGTTGGGGGAACTAAAGCCACTTTTCCATCACACGCTACCGACTGGGCTTTAAACGTGTTCATGCTAGCTTGGCCTGTTGTTGTGTCACTGGCGTCGTTTGGCTGTGACGCTTTGCTTCCTTGTTTATGTTGCTTTACTTCCACTTTGGAAAGAAATCATTACAGCCCCCCGCCCCCCATCCCCCATTTTATCATTTAGTTTGGCTTAAACAGAAGAATGCTTTTAAGAGTCATGTTTTGAAGTGTCCCTTTAAGCCCGGATGCTACTGAGCGGCCCAGGTTTGGGAGTTGTGCGCACATAGCGAATGTTGTTTTTTTCGGAAAGGTTCATTCAAGGTCGCAAATGGTCGCTACGACGTTCAGCAACGATTTTAACGGTAACAAACAGTTTCTCGAGAAAACTGTTTGATACCGATTGCCGCGCATCTGACGAACGTCTTTGCAAGCATTGGCGAGCTTGAACGCGAAAAATCAACATTCAGTTCCGTGCGCAAACACTCGCTAACCCGCGCCGCTCAGTGAGATGCGGTCCTTAGCATAATTCACTTGGACCGATGCGTTCAACGTGCCATTTTATATTTCGCAGTTTCGACCACTGTGGTCGACGTGGCGAGTTTTCCGATGCACCAATTTTCATGCCTCAGTCCAACTTTTGACTTTATTCATCCAGCGCGCTCAACGCGGCAGGTGTTTTTGCAGTTGCCTGTTAGCATAGCTTGATCTGACTAACATGATGTGTTTGCCTCGGTTTTCTTTGAGCGCAGCTTGACGCATTCAACGCGGTAGGATTTTTCAGCTTCCCATTAGCCTACGCATTAGCTTCAGTCAATCCAACCCATGTGTTCTGCGGCAGGTTTTCTCAGTCTCCTGTTAGCTTGATCTGGTTAGCGCGGCAAGATGCATTCGGTGGGTTTGTCGTAGTTTTCCATGAGTTCGGCTTCAGCGTGATACTTTTTTTTGCGACTTCCCATTCATGTAGCTCGATCCCTTTCATGCATTTAACGTGACGTTTTTTTACAAAGTTTCACGTTAACATGATTTCTGATGTGTTTAGCGCAACAGGTTTCCCCCAGATTCCAGTCCCAGGTCCAATTCTTGAATTGATGCTGCTGATGTGTCGTGTCCATTGTGGTTACCCTGCTGTGGCGTGGCTCGATCTGAAAGATGCATTCAACGTGGGGGAGTTTTCAGTTTCTCGTGAGTGCGGCTTCATACGTTTTTTTTTTTTTTTTTTTTTTTTTTTTTCATATTTAGCAATTTCCCCCACA